TCACTGCCCCACTCACTCCCCACTCACTGCCCCACTCCCCACTCACTGCCCCACTCACTCCCCACTCACTGCCCCACTCCCCACTCACTGACTCATTTCTCACTCACTACCTCACTCCTCACTCACTATCTCAGTCCACACTCACTATCTCACTCATCACTGACTCGAGACTTCCATTTACGAATGCTCCCCAACAAGAGGATTTGAAGAGTGTGGTGGATGCTGGGGTATTGAGTAAATTTAAGGAAGAGACAGACAGATTTTTAATTAATCATGGGCTGAAGGGCTATGGGGAGTGGGCAGGAAAGTGGAGTTGAGGCTGAGATGAGAAGAGTCATGATCCTTTACAATGATGGAGCAAGCTCAAGGGGTTGAATGTCCGACACCTGCTCCTGGTCCTAATGTTCTTATCAAGGTTTCGGGGAAGAAGTGTAGAGTATCGATCCAGGTAGCCCATTCCACTCTGTCTCTGCCTGGGAGATGGGCCATTCTGGTGTTAGGCCCTGTCTGAAATAGCAGCCTGAGTGGGGCATGAAGGTGCGGCACTCTCAATTTAAGGCCACACTACTGAAATTTACAAAGAAACAGGGAATGCCTTTTAGTTTCAAGTAAATGGATGGGTTCCTGGTGGGGCTGGAAATGTTAAAACTGTAGGGTGATGTTTTTGTTCCTGTTGTGTTGCTCACATTGCAGCAGACCGGGCTTGTTGAATCCAGGAGAGACGGGTTATCCATGGTTAGCGGACTCCTGGCCTACCACCAGCCTTCCTGTAAATGGGGGTAGCAATGGTCCCTCTGACATTGGAGACCTCGGAGGCATGGGGAACTTCAATCAGGCAGGTGAGTCACTCCAATGAGGATCTGTGCTGCTTCTCCATCGCTGCCATCTTTGTCAAGTGGTTCCAGAGGCAGGAGGACCGAGGTTCCCAATTGGGGATTCAAAACGGGAAAATACTGCTCTCCACCGGTGGGAGAGACTAGGACCCGAGGGACACAACCTCAGAGAGAAGGGACAACCCTTTAGAACTGAGATGAGGAATTTCTTCAGGCATATCCTGGTGAATCTGTGGAACTCATTGCCGCAGAGGGCTGTGGAGGCCAAGTCATTGAGTGTATTTAAGACAGAGATAGATAGGTTCTTGATTAGTAACGGCATCAAGGATCATGGGGAGAAGGCAGGTGAATGTGGCTGAGAAACATAGCCATGATCAAATGGTACAGCAGACTTGATGGGTTGAATGGTCTAATTCTGTCCCTGTATCCTATGGTTTCCGAAAGAGATTAGTGCTTAACTGCCCTCTGAAATGGCCTGCTCAGCTAAGGGGCAATTAAGGATGGACAACAAACACTGGCCTTGCCAACAATGCTCATCTCCCACAAGAAAATAAAGAAACAAACACATTCCTGGCAGTTTGCTGCAATAGATTAGGGAAGATCAGGAGTCACAAGTTATGCAAAGGCAGGTTTGTATTAAATATAAGGTTCATTACCCAGCGAATCGTGGACTATCTTAATTGTGAGCACGTAATTATTGTTAATTGTGGTTAAAAACCCATCTGATTTACTGACATAGCTTGGGAGTTTTAGGGACTGAATTCAGAACTGAAGGCTTAGATACTGAAAATATATTCGCCACTATCTTAAAATATTTCACAGACTAATGGTATGGAACAGACCAAACCCCCTCCAAACATATTAACAAGATAGTCTAGACCCTAATAAAAACAGAAATTGCTGGAAAAGCTCAGCAGGACTGGCAGCATCAGTGAAGAGAAATCAGAGTTAATGTTTTGGGTCCGATGACCCTTCCTCAGAACTGATTTACAACATTCGCAGTTCTTTTGGTTTTTATTTAGTCTCGACGCCAACTGTTTCTTATTTTAGAGGTAACTATAAGGCATGGTATTCCAGATGCAATTTGATTGGTCAAACTACTCAACTTTTAGCAAAACGCAGTTTATTTTTACACTACAGTTAAAATATAGACAAAATAAAAGAAAATAATTGACTTAATTGTTACTCTATTGAAATGCTTAACAAAATAATATATGTATATTAACTACTACTAATTAGTTGTTCCAATATTGTAATAGCTCAAAAACACAGCAAAACAGATTGTCTCACATACAATTCTAGCAGCAGGAAGAGAACCCCAGCTTTTAGCTGTTGCAGAGAGAGGAATAACAGCTCCCACATCCAGCTTTAAGAGCCCATCAACTGCAGAAAGTTAAAACTAAAAATCCTGGTTCTGTGGGAGCTCGACCGCACACATTCAGGCTAACTCTATTGTTCTAGCTTTCAAAAAAAAAGGCCTCACAAGCTGCTTACTTTATTGGCTTTGAACTGAGTGCTTAAAGCCACCTCTCTCCTGACCTTTCCTCATTATAAAAAAGGACAAAATGTACCTCTTAAAGCCACAGCGTCGTCACAGTAAGATAGTGCCATTATAGGCTATTACATTTTAACTTCCATAAACTGATTGTTATACTTCAGACATTGCATGGAATAAATTAAAATACTTTCAAATACAGGACAAATACTAAACCTAAATGGCTGCTAATATCACCTAATCACAGTTTGAGGCCCCTTGGAATAAAAAAAAACTGAAATTACCCTATTATCAAAAGACATGTCTCCTATTTTAAATCACACTCTAATGATAAATTCATGGAATCCCTACAGTGTGGAAACAGGCCCTTTGGCCCAACAAGTCCACACTGACCCTTGGAGCATCCCACCCAGACCCATCCCTCTGTAACCCACCTAATCTACACATCCCTGAACACTACAGGCAATTTAGCATGGCCAATCCACCCTAACCTGCATGTTTTTGGACTGTGGGAAGAAACCAGAGCACCTGAAGGAATCCCATGCAGACACAGGGAGAATGTGCAAACTCCACACAGACAGTTGCCTGAGGCTGGAATTGAACCCGGGTCCCTGCTACTGTAGGGCAGCAGTGCTAACCACAGTGCCGCCCTATCATAAGAGATGAAAGTTTCACCTATGACTTCGCAAGCTCAGAAAGACAATGGAGCCAGACTTGGGAATATACAAACAAACCATCTTTCAGGATCTGTTTTTTTCTTTGACTATCACAAAAAACAGAGGGTCAGATCTGCCAAGATCCTACTGAATAGCAGAGCAGGGCTCGAGAGACTAAATGACATATTCCAGTTCCTGTTTCTTACGGTCTTTGAACAGCCACCAAAGATGGAGAATTACAGTCTAGGATATACATAAGACCAGAGTTGGAGGAATGCAGAGATCTCAGAAGACTGTAGAGCTGATGGAGATTGAGACGGGCATGGGTGCAGTGGGGTGGAAATTTCAGCTGCCTGATGAGTGTTTTAGTTGCGGCCTGCTAATGAGAATCCTTTTGTGCCACTCCTGAGTTCTCTGTGTTGTTTTTCAATATAAACGATGGATTTATTCAGTGGATTGTGAAGGACATTCATCATATCCCAAATGCAGACCACATAGTGGTGTCTATGTATAGTCACACCTCTGTTATTTTATGAAACACACCTGTCCTGAAGCACAATCAAGATGACATATTTATTTTTCATGCTGAAAGTGTGACTGTTTACAATATTTCTCACAGATCATTGACCCACTTTACATTTCTCTGTCTCTTTCTTTTGGCCCTCTCTCTCTCTTGCCTCTTGATCCCACCCCCCACCCTCCAGCAGCAGGTCAGGGGGAGAAGTCAGGTACTATGCTCTCGGACAGTGCCATTTACAGCAGCATTGATGTCACCACCAAGACCAGCTTCAACAGCCCAGGCCAGGTCACACAGACCACTCCCTACGCCACCACTCAGCTCCTGCATTCCAGTAGCATCCAAGAGCTAGCTGTGGACCTGCCCGAGCCTCAGTGGAAGGCCTCCATCCAACCAAAGCCAGATCTGACCAGCTGTGGGTACTCTCTACCGGACCAGAGCAAGTTTAATAACGGTGAGTGAGAGGATAGTACTATCTGGGATAAGTGTTCACTGGCTACATGTGCTGGTTTACTTGAGAGACAAGCTAAATGCCTCTAACTGTAGGTTGATGAGGAAGTGTCACTATCGGGACCCTAGTTTGGAATGTGGAACAGTGAAACAATCTATTCAACTCGGATTTATAACTCAGTTTTGGTAACATTTCTTCATGTGGATATCAGTCTGCTGATTCAATTTTCATTAATTGACCCACATTTCTCCCTGTCTCCTGAACGCTTTCTCCCCATATCCCTCAATCCCACATTCCCACCTTCTCCCCCCCTCCCTCGATCCCATCTGTGGAACATCTCCCTGTATCACTCAGTCACCACATCTCCCCATATCCCCCAAACCCACCTTCTTCCCATGTTCTCCAGTCCCCACCTCTTCTCCATATCCCTCAAACCCCACCTTCTCCACATGTTCCACACTCCCCACGGTCTGCATATATCCCTCAATCCCAGCTTGCACCTTTCCCACCTATCCCTCCATCCACCTGCCCAGTCCCTGGTCAGTATTCTACACGATGTAATTTGTATTAATTAATTAATATATTAATTGAGATCACACTTCACCAAAGGCTGATTTTGTACTTGGTGCAACCTCCTGATACAATTTAATTCATCAAGCCTGATCATAAAATAATGATTAAACATAAAATTAGAATTAAGGATGGGAATCAAATTTTTAAAGCAGGTTTGTAATTTCAATCTCTATCTAAGAACAGTAGCAATGACTTACATTTATATAGTGCCTTTGACATAGTGCAATATCCTAATTTCTGAGGAGCATTAGCAAACAAGATGTGGTATCAAACCAAATTAGAAGACGTTTGTTCTGATGATCACAAACCTGCCCAGAGAGAGAGAGAGGTTATGAACAACATGTTGGAGGCCCGAGAGAGAGAGAGATAAAGTTGTGGCACATCTTTTTGAAGGAAATGGAAGGGAATTCCCTGGTTGAGGGCCCAATCAGCTGAAGGGATGGACAGCAACAGTGAATAGATTTAAATCAGGATGTGCTTCAGGAATAACTGGAAGATGGCAGAGGTCTTGGAGTTTGGTAAGGCTGGAGGACTATAGTGCTAGGGATTGGCTTGATTTGATTATTTTGGTTTGATTTTGACTTTATTGTTCTGTGTACTGAAATACAGTGAAAAGCTTTGTTTACGAGCGGTACAGGCAGATCACAGCAAGCAAAGGGTGTACAGATCACAAAAGAGTTAGAGGCATACAGGTTACATTGCAGGTTACATTATTTGAGGCTAGAGTCCATTCAACAGTCTGATAACGGCCAGAAAGAAGCTGTTCCTGAACCTGCTTGTGCGTGTGTTCAGGTTTCTGTATCTTCTGCCTGACAGAGGGTTTGTAGGAGATCATTACTGGGATGCAATGGGTCTTTGATAATGTTGGCAGCCTTTCCACAGCAGCGAGCCTGTAAATGGAGTCCATGGATGGAAGGCTGGCTTCCATAATGGTCTGGGCTGTGCACACCACCTTCTGTAGTTTCTCACGGTCCTGGGCCGACCAGTTGCCATTCCAGGCCATTATGCACCCGGATAGAATGCTTTCAATGGTGCATCTGTAGAAGTTGGTGAGGGATCTTGTGGACACGTCAAATTTCCTGAGCTGCCTGAGGAAGAAGAGGCATTGTTGTACCTTCTTGACTGTCGCATTTACGTGGGAAATCCAGGACAGGTCGTTGGTTATCGTCACTCCGAGTTACTTGATGCTCTTCACTCTCTCAACCTCAGTTCCGTTGATGTAGATGGGGGTGTGTTCTCCTCCTTTCTTTCTGAAGTCGAAGATCAGTTCTTTAGTCTTGCTGACATTGAGAGACGAAATTATTTTCATTGCACCACGTCACCAAGCCCTCTGTCTCCCTTCTGTATTTTTGACTTGTTGTTGTTACACATCTGTCCCACTGTGGTGGTCTCTTCAGCAAACTTGTAGATGGTGTTCATTCGGACCTTTACAACACACATAGGAAGTACAGTAGGGGGCTGAGGATATATCCTTGAGAGGCTCCAGTGTTGAGCGTTATTGAGGAGGAGGTGCAGTTACCTATCCTCACTGATTGTGGTCTGTGGGTCAGAAAGCTGAGGATCAGGTTGCAGAGAGCTTTATTCATTAATAGGATGTGGGCATTGCTGACCAATCAGCATTTATTGCCCATCTCTAATTGCCCAGAGGGCAGTTCAGAGTCAACCACACTGCTGTGGGTCTGGAGTCACATGTAGGCCAGCCCAGGTAAGGATGGCAGTTTCCTTCCCTAAAGGACAATAGTGAACCAGATGGGTTTTTCTGACAATTGACAATGGGTTCACGGTCATCATTAGATTTTAATTCCAGATATTTATTGAATTCAAATCCCACCATCTGCTGTAGCGGGATTCAAACCCAGGTCCCCAGATCATTATTTGGGTCTCTGGATTAACAGTCCAGCGATAATACCACTAGGCCATTGCTTCCCCTTGGCAGAGTTGAGACCAAGGTCTTGGAGTTTTGAGATCAGTCTGGAGGGGATAATGGTGTTGAAGGTGAAGCTGTAGTTGATGAGCAGGAGTCTGATGTAGATGTCCTTATTGTCCAGATGGTCCAGGGATGAGTGCAGGGCTAGGGAAATGGCATCCTTGTTGATCTAGGCCATGATCAGCCTCTTGAAGCACTTCCTGATTATGGAGGGCAGAACAATTCAGTTATGGTCATTAATGCACACTGCATGTGTTTTCTTGGGTACGGGATGATGGTGGTCTTCTTGAAGCATACAGAAGCTTCACCTTGTAGGAGGAAGTGGTTGAAGATGTCGGTGAATACCTCCACCAGTTGATCCCCACAGGATCTGAGTGCTCGGCCGGGGACACCGTTCAGACCTGTTGCTTTCCTTGGGTTGACTCCCAGGAAGACCAATCTGACTTCTGAAGCAGTGACAGAGGGAACAGGTGTGTCTGGGGCTGTTGGGGGCAGGCATTGCCACGCTGGTGGTATTCTGCTCAAAACCGAGCATAGGAAGCATTGAGCCTGTCAGGGAGGGATGCATCATTGTCCGCCATCTTACACTGTTTCATTTTGTGTCCTGTCAAGTCATTTAGGCCTCATCATAGACGGTGGGAATCTGTTTGGTCGGTCTGGGTCTCTAACTTGGTCTGGTACTGCCTGTAGACTTCCCTGATGGCTTTGTGGAGGTCATATCTAGATGTTCTGTATTGGTTCGGGACACCTGATTTGAATGCTGCACATCTGGTCTTCAGTAGGGAGTGGAGTTCCTGGTTCATCCAAGGTTTACAGTTCCGAAGTATGGATGGGGGATGGAGCGGTAGGCGCTTTGATGGTTGTGTAGCCGTGGTCCAGGATGTTCAGTCTCCTGGTGCGGCAGGAGATATGCTGGTGGTATTTTGGCATCACTGCTTGAGGTTGGTTCGGTTGAAGTCGCTGGCCACAATGAATACAACCTCGGGGAATTTTGTCTGTAGTGTGTTTGTGGTAGTGTAAATCACATCTAGGGCATTCTTCACCATTGTGTCACCGCAGGACAATTTAAACTCAAAGCTGAGAATTTTAACATTACGGTGCTGCCAATACAAATCAGTGAGTATAGGGGCGATGTGGTGAACAAGACTTGTCCTGAGTAAGGGGACAGGAGGTGGAGATTTGGATGACCTTGTGTTTTGGGGGGATTACAGATTAGACTGCAAGGAGTGGAACTTAGAAGAATATGAGGGGGAACTTATTGAAACACACATGATTCTTGGGGGACTTGATGAGGTTAACAAATATCTAGGATCAGAGCACATAATCTCCGAATAAGAAGTCTTCCATTTAAGACAGAAATGAGGAGGAATTTCTTCTCTCTGTAGAATTCTTTACTGCAGAAGGCTGTTAACTCTGGCTAATTAAGTATGTTCAAGGCTGAGAGAGATGAATGTCAATCAGGAATGGAATTAATGGTAATGAGGAAAAGGCAGGAAAATGCAGTCGACGATGATTAGATCAGCCATGGTCTCATTGAGTGGTGGAGCAGACTCGATGGGCTGAATGGCCCACTTCTGTTCCTACGTCTTACGGTGTTAAGTTCTTTTGAACTCTGGTGCAAGGCCAGTGATCAAAGTGGAGTATTCTCCCAATGAGAAGAGATTCACAAAGCGGCTTGATTTCTCCCTGAATTCTTTGGGATAACCTGATGGAATGTGAAAGCAAAGGGCCCCGATGGTGAGATTTTGCTTTTCAACCTTGCGAGTCTTTCTTTCTTTCTTCCCTGAAAACCGCAGCTTCATCTGCATTAACTGCATGTCATTGCATGTGCTTGTGCCATGAGCTACTACACCTGATGCCACTGTGACTTTTACCCTTTGACCTTTAGCCCTGCTTTTCATCCCTGACTACCGATTGGCTGAGGGATTGTCTAACAGAATGCCTCACAACCATTCTGAGGACTTCAGCACTTCCAGTTCCCACAACAGCTCTGAAAGAAGTCTCTCAGGTTTGTCCTCAACACTTAACACCATACCCTCTGCCCTGTCGTCCATCAGTGAACTGTTGAGTACGTGTCAAAGGTATGACAAGCTATTCCTTGCGCAGTCGTCATGTTGTTATCCAGGAGGTGGGACATCTCAGTAGATATCGTTCTGAAATGTTTGAAGCACTCTGTTTGGAGAAAGCCCAGTGAGAGCCCAACATTCCCCACTGTCATTCAATGTCACCCTCTGAACCTCCCAAAGATAACCTTTCACAGAATCCCATGGCCCACCCTTTCAGCAAAGTGGTACCTTCAGAATCTTTTTTTTGAACTAGTTTAACAAAAGAGCATTTTTTTTTTGGCCAGAATTAAAAGAAGGTGAGAGACAGGTCATGCTGCTGGAGTAGGGTTTTGAATTTTGGGTGATTAGCACGCACAACGAATAGGCTAGTGAGGCCTGTCCAACCTTGGGGGCTGCATTTCAATTTTTCTCTCACTCAGTTGCAGGGAGTCAGTGGT